ATGGGAACAAATAAAGATTTGAAGGCTGGAAACAAATAAGCCAAAAAATTTCACCCTCTCCCCTCCCCTTACCCCCAACGTGAACACAACAAGTTGATAAAATATTTTTGGTATTATTCTCAACTAAACTTATATTCATTTCTAAACTTTAAGCTTCATAATATTATTTCTCAGCGTTCAAAAATTATGACCATATAAAGTTTTTAACCCCCTCAAATTGAGGGTGTTTAAAACCACTTCACTCTCTATATTCTAACCAACTTCTATTTAAAAAAAAGCTACGCATCTATTTTCTCACCAACTTCTATTTAAAAAAACGCTACGCATCTATTTTTAACAATTTAATGTATCTACTGTTCTGGAATAATGCTAAAAATAGCTTAACAATGCCTTAGTAATCTCTTTTTATCTTAGTAATCTCTTTTAATTTTAGTAATCTCTTTTAATCTTAGTAATCTCTTTTAATTTTAGTAATCTCTTTTAATTTTAGTAATCTCTTTTAATCTTAGTAATCTCTTTTAATCTTAGTAATCTCTTTTAATCTTAGTAATCTCTTTTAATCTTAGTAATCTCTTTACTTTTTAAATTTAAGTTATGATTATAACTTAAGTTGATCTCTTTTAGCCTTTTTATCAATTTAAAAAAAAAAAAGTTTACTTAAAAAGAAAAAGTAAAAATATACATATGACAAAAAACTGGAAACTCTAAAACCAACAATTACAAAAACTTTTGTATTTTTTAATTGTTTTGATAAACATGCTTCTTATGCCGTTTCAGTAATATTGTTTTACGTTTTAAAAAGCAGGATATTTTATAAATTTTTATGCCCTTGCAGTAGTGATATATAGGTTTCAGCAAATCCACAACTGCACTGGTACAATTGTTTAAAAAGATCAGCGGTCTTTTCTGGTAACCCATTTTTGAGGGGCTGGGCGCAGCTGCGTTTATGCGCACAGATAAATTCGACAATGCTGACAAGTCCTTTTTTATTAACCATTTTACTATTGTTGTTTATAAATAATCCAATAAAGCATTATAAACTATGTTTAATGTAACAAGTAGTGTTGTTACGACTATTAAATAATTTGACTGTCGACTAAATCGACTAATATATTTTGTAAAATCGACTAAAATTGATTAATACATTTTGAAAAGTCGACTCTAAGTTTATTTTTTTGAAATATGGGAATAATTTTTTTTTTTAATAAATTATCATAAAAATAATAAAGTAACTTATTTTCGTTTTCTTTTTTTTAACATCATATTATTTAATTGTTTATGGAGCAAAACAATATAAGGGAACAGCTGCTCCGACAACTGGACAATTTATTCCCAGACTCCAATGATTTAGGGAATGCCTTAAATACTTGCTATATTATATAGCAAGTATTTAAGGCATTCCCTAAATCATATGTATTTTATTTCCTAAATCATATGTATTCCCTATTTATTTCCTTAATTTTTTTTTTCTTTTACTCAATGCTTTTGATTTTCATAAATATTTTCAAACAGGGCCGCTTTGAGATGGATTGGGGCCATTAGGCAAAATTATGTTGTAAAGCTCCAAAATCAAAATGTTTTCTATAAAATCACATTGTAAATATGATTATAAAGGCTTGGTACATAGTATATACCAAAGATTTTTTTTTGGAAGCACCTTAATAACTTTTTAAACTTTTTTTTATTGTCAGAAATACCTCATTTGCTTCGTAATAGTGTATTAAGAAGTGAAAATTACACCAATTTGTTTAATGTAATGAATGCTGATACCAAATCTGAGACAGCTCGATATGCCCCACTTCCATTTGAAAAACCTTCGTTCACTAGGTGGCTTGCTCGTGGAAAAGTGATATTCAACATTTTAATAAATAAGGAAGAGCTTACAATTTATTTTATTTGTGCTCAACAATCACCTTCAAACTTTACATCTAGATTCAAAGCAAGACTTTTAAAAGAAATGTTGTCAGACATAGACAACCTTCTTTTTTTCCAAATACCTGAACAACACTTGTTGTTCAAGAATTTGAATGAGTAGCCTGCTTCATTTGAAAGAATGAGTAGCCTGCTTCAGCAAACAAAAGTTGATCCAAGTGATCTTTTTAAACAAATGAATGTGTTTCAAATGAGCCATAACCGCAGAGTTTATGATTTTAACAGCAACAAGAAGAATATATGAGGTTGACTTTGGCGCTAAATTTATAAAAGAATGTCATTCTTTTTTACAAAATTGCAACTGACTCTTGTATCAAAATAAAAAATATAAAAGAAAGATGTTTGTGTGTACTAGATGAAGCTTATAGTCAAGTAACAGCTAGACTACCATCATCAACGGAGACATATAAAAATTTATCGAACTTGAATCCTGAGTAAAGAATCAAAACCAAATATTTCTGAACTGCCATTTTTACATCTAGTAGAAGATTTAGACTTAATAGAAAAACAGTATCGAAAAATTGCATTCGTAGATTGGAAAGAAGAAGAACTATTCAACTTGTTTGATAACACCTGTTAGCAATGCTGTAGTTGAGAGAGTACTCTCTCTTGTATATGCTACTAAAACAAAGACCAGAAATAGAGTTTCACTAAATATGTTGGATGTTGTTATAAGAAAAAGATCAGAAGTAATTTTTTCAGGGAATCTTAAAAAAATGCTGACTAATTTTAGTTCAGATATAGTGTACAAATCTGATATTGAAGACTCTTCATTTTCAGAAAATGTTGATGACTTTGAAGTTGATATTTAACAATTGTGTAATTGAAGACTTTAAAAAAAAAATTTGTTTATTGTGTTATTTCTAATGAACCTGACCCTAACTCTAACCCTGACCCTTTACCCCGAATTAATATAATAATGAAATTTTATATAGAAATAAGGCATTGTTCCATGAAAAAAATAATTTTTTGTCAACTTTTTATTTAAGGAGTTATTACTTTAAAAACGACAATAAGATTAGAATCAAGTTTTTATAGTATTTTTTAACTATTGATTTTTTTGCTTTGTGAAAAGACCGTTAGGTCTTCTAGGGGTACCTAAAACAAAAATTAAAATTATATTAGCATTATTGTTGTGGCACTCTAAGCTAATTAATTTATGGAGTTGCTTTTGTTAGAGTAATTGCTAGGGGTTAAGAAAGCTTCCACAAGGAAAATAAACAACTTTAGGCCTTTATTCCCTATAAAAAAAATTTTAAGCCATTTTTGAGTGCTGATTAATTTAATTTATTTAAAACATTTGTTTACGATTGAAAAAACTTTCATTTCTTAAAAAAACATTACTATATTTCAAGGGGTTATTCAAGCTATATAAATAAATATCATAAAAGGGAACAAAAAATAAACTTCTTTCGTCTTAAATGTTTCGTTTGTAAATATGTGCTATTATAATTTAGGAAACTTTTTTATATAAATAAAGAATATATATATATATATATATATATATATATATATATATATATATATATATATATATATATATATATATATATATATATATTAAACTAAATAAAACCTATTTTTACAGATACAAGTTTAAGATAAAAAATAAAATAATCATTGTTTACTAATAATTAGTTTACAATTTATTATTAAAGAATGCTCCATGCATTCCTTAAAAATAAATTGTTTATTAATAAACTTTATTCTATATGAAGTTTTTATTTAACTTTAAGTTAAATAGGTAAATAAGTAAAAACTTTATTTTATGCATTCTTTAATAATAAATTGTAAATAAATATATTATAAATAAAATGAAACATTGAGAAAAGTCAAGTTAATATAATAACTTGACTTGTCTCGATATTTCACTTTATTTTTTAACTACGACAGTTTTTACGGTATGTTGATGTGATCTAAAAAATGATTGTGGCAATATATATATATATATATATATATATATATATATATATATATATATATATATATATATATATATATATATATATATATATATATATATCAATAAGATGTACATTTTCAAAATTAAACCAATGCGATCACGGGGATCACATTTTAGCCACTTTATTATATATTTCTGGCTACCGCATATCGCAAACTATCTGGCAAGCCTGCATAAGAGAATAATCTAGAATTCTTTGCCTGTTTTTGTATAGGTTGAAAAATGAATATATTTACTTAAATATAGGCATTGTTTTTATATAACGACTGGACACATTTTAAAGAAAAGGTCTTTATACATCACGTTTAGTGATTATCAAGAATGTATAAAAATATGTAAGAAGTTGTATGAACATGCAAATTTAGAGAAAAAATAAATCGTTATATTTGACCTTATAAAAAGGGTGGGTAATGACGTTGTTTATATGTTTAGTTATTCAAAAATAAACATTAGAAAAAAAAAAAAAAAACTTAAATTACCTAATATTTATTTTCATTTAGTGGCAAGAAAAAAGAATATATATATATTTTGAATGTTATTTAGGTACCCCAAGAAGACCTAACAGTCTTGTCACAGAGCACCGCGGAAGTGCATTTAACCAGGAAGTTCACACCTACTTAATTGCCGTGACGCGAAAATATGTCCAAGGCTCGTTTCGAACCTGGATCTCCTGCTTATAAAGCAAGCGTTCTAACCACTGCGCCACGGCCGCTCTAATATTAAAGAAGGAACTAATTAAAAAAAAAAACTAAATCTTCTACAATCAACAACCTTTGGATAACTCCATTTAACCTTTAGCCAATAAAGACCTTTATGAACGAATTTAAATAATTATAAACTTTTTGTGAAATATTAGAAACAACAATCTAAAGACTTATAAAATCTTATAAATAAATAACATCGTCTTAAGATCGTATAATTTTATCGTGTATATCGATCTTATAAATATTTAAAATCCTTAATTAAAGAATGGCAACATATCCTAGATGACACAAACTAGATTTTTTTTTCAAGTACTTTAAATGTAGGAAAAAAGTAGAAGCGGGTTGAAACAAATTGTATTCAATATAATTACTTTAATTCGTTAATAATAAAAAAATCTGTTAAATAATCTTTAAATTCTTTTATCAAAAATTTGGTAATAGTATCACAAAGTTATAAAAGTATGAAGTCTTTAGCAATTTAAGATAAATATTAACTAATTATATGTTAAATATATTATTTAATTTTTCATCATTATTATTATAGACTTTTAAAAATCAATTTGAAACGATATTACATCAGAAACTCGAATAAGAGCCGACTCATAAATAGCGATAGGAGTTTTAAGTTTACTGACGGCTATATTTTCAAAGCCAACATCAACTCCTTCAAATATTCCAGAAACTTTTGTGTTCTCATAAAGAGAAAAAGATATATTTTTTCCTTGACTGGCTAAGAGAAGATGAAGAAATCTTTTACGAGCTTCGGCTAAGAGTTTTTTTCTATCATTTGAACTTTGATCTTCCACTATATGTTCAATCAATTTATCGTCAACATTCATTTTTTAATAACTAAACAAAAACGTTGTCAAAATAAGAACTTAAGACGTTGGCAAAACACGAAATAAAAACGTTATCAAAAAAAAAATTGTCGAATTAAGGAATGAA